AGAAACTTGTATGGACATCACCCAGACCCTGTTACAGAGATAGAACCTCTAACAATATTAATACACAAAACAGTCAAAGCTTATCACCCAGACATCGTAATCGAATGTACTTTATTATTCACATATCAGTCACTGCAAATTGTAATGTATCTTTGAAGATCTTCAAAAAACTATCAAAATAGAAGGATCTTGAAGTGGGAATCTCAAAAATGTGATACATGAGCACATCAATAATTCCACTTGTAGTTGGAGTCTTCGAATTGATTGAAAAAGGTTCATTGAGGATACCTTGTAGCCCATGCCTGAAATAATTACAAACAATTTTAGTCACATGTACATCTCACACATTACGTAAATGGCCTTATCTATATAAGATGTGTGTGATATTGTTTTTTTTGTTTTGTTTTTTGTTTGTTTTATTTTTTTTTAAATGATCACTGGAAAGCTATTTTCGACCTTAACTCTCTGTTTGAAACCTGGAAAGAAATGTGGAAGCAACAAAAATCAAAGGAAATAATAATAATAAAAATAGTAATAATAATAATTATTATTATTATTATTATTATTATTATTATTAATATTATTATTTCCTGAACGAATCGTAATATTTACAAAGCAGTAACTATTATGTACAAATGTAAAATATTCGACACAAGAGAGTTAATATTTTAGTTGAAGAGCTCAAATGAATATCTATGATTCATTGGCAATCGCTGCATGCGATGCAAGGAGATTCAAAGTGATATTAAAAGGGTTAACGGATTTGGCAATGCCTGATTTATAGTCTGGCATCCGTTATTCTGGCGCCTCAAGATGCAATGCTGGATCTAAGGAAAATTTATTTATCTTCATATATATAGTATTTGAACAAATACCGTTATACTTCCAATTCTCTTTTAGATATATGGCCTGGCCTCGTTTTGGTTTTATCATTTCCTATTATACAAAGAAGACTGAATACACATAAACAGACTACACACACACACACACACACACACACACACACACACACACACATACACACACACAGATAGATAGATAGATAGATAGATAGATAGATAGATAGATAGATAGATAGATAGATAGATAGATAAGCAGGCAGGCAGTCTGAATGTGATTGTGATTGAGAGACGGTAAACATAACGTGCGCTTGTAAATGTATGGCGTCGGTAAAATTCTTTGCCATTAAATCATTTATGTAGAGTGAAGTATGACTTACGCGCACACACACTCACACATACATAGGTGTATGTGTGTACGTGCAAGCGCTAGTGTCCGTGTGTGCATGTGTGTGTATGTGTGTTATATTAGTTTTTATTATTGCATAAGGTACATTGGAAAACTATTTCTCCGGATTTAAAGTGAGTATATGCGGTACATACATATTGCCTACATAACATTTTTTTTTTTTTCTTATATATATATATATATAATATATATATATATATATATATATATATATATATATATATATATATATATATATATATATATATATATATATATATATATATATATATATATATATATATATATATATATATATATATATATATATATATATATATATATATATATATATATATATATATATATATATTTCAACATCCTGCATTTTTATAAGGAATTCAGAGTAGATGCAATCACTACTTTCATTAGAATAGTACTTTACCTTAACCCTAACCCTTGAGGCAACACGGCCCAGTGGATAAAGACGTTGGTTAGATCCAGTGACTAGACCCAAACCAAAGAGTTGTGAGTTCAATACCAGGCCACAGCTGTGGTGAACCAAAACTTGAAGAGTTGACTCAAAGGGAAATAAATGAGACATCCGGAAGAGGTAAGGCACGAGGAACTAGAACAACCTACCACGGTCGACGAAATAAAGTGTCCGATTCGAAAATCCAATCAACTGAAGAAGGTGTAGTACGGCCGAAAAATATAACACGGACTCGGATATAATGTTAAATAGTATATTCTCAAAAACAGTAAAGGTAAATGTGGACTGGAGAGTACTTTCTCTCACTGGTGTCCTGACTCACTCATTCACTCATTCTATGGCTACTACTCAGTGACCCTCACTTGGTGACTCCCTTTAGTCAGAGTTGGTAGCCATAAGTGTAGAAGAGTCCATTTGTAGGTAGGTCCCCACACAATTACAATTGCGTCTCGTAAAAGATTTGCGTAACAAAAAGTGAGATTTTAATTTTGAGTCTACAAATAACAGATCTTTGAATGATTTAGTTACAGTGAGCAAAATAATATTATACTAGAAATAGCCTGAAAATATAACAGTTTTCCTATTTGAATTTTTAATCTTAATTATTAAGTTAATGAATGAATAAACACCTTGCCAGTGATACAGCTATAAAATATCCGTAGAAATGGTGTCGTTAATATTTGAGTTTGCTCAGTCTAACAAAATATTGCTTTAACACTCATCAATACGTAAGATTATTCAAAGAAGCACGGGGGTACAAATAAAAAACATTTAACTTTAATAAAGTCTTCCATTTCACTGAAGCAGACGTTTGACACACTAGAGGATTTTAGAGACTTCTATTATATGGTTATTTGTTTCTTTCTTTCTGTGAAGCCAAACGTCGTCTCTTTTATGCATGTTCTGTCTTTCCTCGCGTTCAAAACGAATTTTATGAGGAATTACCAGGATATAATGTACATGCTAACTCTCTAACTTAATGAAGATCAAGTGCAATTATAATAGCGATTTATTAAGCCCAGCTTAGAAATGACATAAGACAGAAAGTATGTTGCACCCAGTGAGGATCGAACTCACAATTCAGTCGCAATTAATCCAGCGTAACTAGCTTGTTAACCATTACACTACATCAAAGTGCCCATATATGGTGATTTTCTATGCGTAGCTTAGTTGTAGCACAAGGCCGAATGTATGGGAAACCCAGTGAGGATTGAACTCACTATGAAGTTGTCAGTGAACTAGTGAGACAAGCTTACTAAACATTACACCACGTCAAAATGCCCCAAACATAAGTTAATAAATAAATACATTACGTGTTTTCTGATCCCATATAACCATGGCAAATGCCGAGGAAATTACTAGATGCGAAAAGAGACAGCAATTTCAAGAAACAAACTGAAGTTCTGCGTGTCAAAAAGAAAAAGAAATTTTAGAATGGGAGAATCGATTGTTTTAAAGCAAGATGAGGACATGTGAAAGTGTGTAAAATTGGTTGAAATTCTTTCTGAGAAAGATTAGAGCGGAGATATAACAAATATAATTTTATTAGAAATAAAGATTCTTTATACCAACAGTTTTTACTACCTCCTGTTCAGGCCATTGGAGTGAGGATTCACGCACCTGTTGTATTATCCTAATTCTCTTTGTATTCCATTAGTAAGGAGGAAGTTCCAATCACTCCCTGTCACTTTCTCCTACTTTTCTTTCTTTTTATCCATTTTTCTTTCTGCTTATCAAACTTATTCTGCCCTTCTTATTTCCTTCCCCTTCTATTTATTTCATGAATTTCCTATTTCTTCTTCTTCTTTTCTTCTTGTTTCATTCAGTTTTCTTCCTCCTCTTCTTCTTCTTCTTCTTCTTCTTCTTCTTCTTCTTCTTCTTCTTCTTCTTCTTCTTATTTCCTTCTACTTATTTTATCCATTTTCTTCTTCTTCTTCTTCTATTATTATTATTATTATTATTATTATTATTATTATTATTATTATCAATAGTAGTAGTAGTAGTGGGAGTAGAAAAGCGTCTTGGTGTTATTGACGGAAAATCGTTCTCATGAGAAAATGTAGCATATTTATTCTCTTCAAAATAATTTGACTGAAAATTGTTTAAGTCCATTTCTTCTTCTTTTTCTTCTTCTTCTTTTTCTTCTTCTTCTTCTTCTTCTTCTTATTATTATTTCTTCTTTTACTTCTTACATGCATTTCATATTCCTTCTTTTTGTTTTATTGATTTTACTTATTCTTCATCCTTTTCTTCTTCTTCTTATTATTATTTCCTTCTATTTGTTTTATCCATTTTTATTTCTTCTTCATCTTCTGTTTGTTTTATCCACTTTACCTCCTCCTCCTCCTTCTTCCTTTCGTTTGTTTTATTCATTTTCCTCCCTCTCCCCCTTCTCCTTCCTCTTCTTCTTCTGTTTCTTCTATTTCTTTTTTCCTTCGCTGTCTACTTGTTTTATCCATTTGCTTTTTCTTTCTTTCTTTCTTTCTTTCTTTCTTTCTTTCTTTTTCTTCTTCTTCTTCTTCTGCTTCTTTCCTTCAGCCTCTACTTGTTTTATCAATTTCCATTTTTCTTCTTTCTATCTCCACCATCTCCTTTCGTTTTTTCTCCATTTTCCTCTTGTCTTTCTCTTCACCTCTTCCTATTTCTTCTTCTTCTTCTTCTTCTTCTTCTTCTTCTTCTTCTTCTTCTTCTTCTTCTTCTTCGTTTATCTATTTCTTCCCTCTTTTTATTGTCCTGCTTCTTTTGCTTATTATCATTATTAGTAATAATAGTAGTAGTAATGTGCATTGGTATTATTCAAGGAAAATCATTCTCATAAGAAAATGTAGCAGATTTATTCTATTCACAATAATTTGACTGAAAATTGCATGATAAGTCTATTTCTTTGACATTAGGTTGACGCAAAGGAAATTGAAATCAATGTACCGCATCAATATCTATGAATATTAACCAAATTGAATAGTATATTAAATTACTGCTCTTTTCAATGTCATAGGTTAATGAAAATGTTTGTAATACTTATCGGAAATGCTAAACATTTGCATCATATTGTGAGAATGGTTATCAGCATGAATCGATTTTCCTGGACACTTCTGTCGTTCTCGTCACAAAGTATCAATTGCAAGAAAGCTTCAGTCTTTATAGAAGCAATAATATGCGCTCGTCACGACAGATGTATAGTGGTTTTTGCCTTTATGGCCTAATTGTTTCCTAGGCAGCATCTTGTGGTACACTGTCTGTCGTGAAATACTGACTACACGGAATAATAAAGAATAGTTGGTCATGACAAACGGAGTTCAAAAAGAAAGAGAAGCAAACGGATCATGACTGGATGTGGAAGAATTCGTAAAAGTATGTCACAGCTAAAAAGAAAATCGGTTACAAATGTCTGTTGATGTCCGCGGAGGGGGAACATACAAAATGAGTCCGGACAGACGAAAGAAAGAAAGAAAGAAAGAAAGAAAGAAAGAAAGAAAGAAAGAAGCAGACAAACAAACAAAGAATAGAAAAGGATTGTAAGAGGCTGAATCCAAAAGAATGGGGATTGATTGGTTTGTTAAGTTTTTTTTTTTTTTGTGTTTTGTACTGTTTATCAATATTTTTTGCATAATTTAAAGCTGAAGCATATATTAGATTTTATGAATAATTCTCTTTTTTGTGATTCAATATTGCATCGACAACTCTTTCAGAATAAAAAAAAAAAAAATAATCTGTCCAGCCAAAAGTCGTGATATTTAACCCATTGGTAGGGGTAGAAAATTGATTCAGACCTTTTCCAAGATATTTGCGCGTAAGAGCATGTATCGCAACTGAAATTCGAAATCGATTCTCCGATTTCTCCTCTTGTGATGTTCTCAATTACATCACCCGCATATTCACCCAAAAGGATCGAAATAGGTAGACTATGGAAGCCCATAAGTGAATGAAGAATTACTCATAACAGATGAGATGTAGTGTACAGAATGTCTTTCTATATCGGGTATATATTTAATTGAAATAAAAATTCATCATAAGCACCCGGGCAAAGAAATAAAGTAAAACATGCCTAGTGTATACGAATATACTGAGGCATCGATAAAAAAATATGGCATGAGATTATTTATACTATTTACAAATGACTTATTATCATCTTCTTTGTTGATATCACAACGTTTCGATCATTTAAGTATTTCGATCCAGGTCACCTAAAAAGAATTCCGAACGGAACCCTCTACGGTTGTTGGCCATTTTTGTTCCACTCTCCATATTTCGTGATATATTATTCCGGATCTTTCTTTTTTTTAACTTACTTTATTTAGAAACTGTCTCCGATTAGACCTCATTGCTATGCTTTATAAATAAAAGATTGAACAGTGATATGATACATAATACAGCTAGAATCATTCATCATTGGAAGGATACAGTGTAACCATTGAATAAAGACGTACTTCAATGCAGCAGTCATCGATTAAGCCGACAAGCGTACCTAACACATGCCTCTAGTCGACTCTTAGCATCAAGATATATACATCAGCACACTTGGCGTTGTTGAAGGTTAGAATCCATACCTTTATGAGGTCTATGCCTCACCGGAATCCCTATTATCGTTCATTAATCGAACCACGATACATATCGGTACTGTTCCAGTGTATAATTAGCAACGTCACTCTCCCGGATGAAGCGATCTGCGTGCTAGCATGAGGACCCTTAGGGTTTTTCTGCGCCTCAACTCTGCAGAATTTAAATTACGCTGAAGGGGCGTTCTAGATATGCGTCTTATATGGGGATATGATTTGAACCAGTTAAGCCTTTTGTTACCATATACATGTCTCATCATTTCTCACCAGTCGCGATAAACACGCGAGTATTGTAGAAATTGGTCAGTATAATGTTCTTATGCAAAAAATCCACGTCAACGTGGTAATATTGTCGCATCTTTTGCGATGTTAGGGAATTGGTTAAGAGAGTCTATATTCAATGCGTGAATTGAATGTGAGTTATTTTGATTAATCACTTTTAATTTGTTATTTACACAGTATGAAAATAACCTGCGGCTTAGGTGGGATATATATATATATATATATATATATATATATATATATATATATATATATATATATATATATATATAGCAATATTGTGTTTATAAATGGAGCAAATTTCTTAATAGGTTATTGCAAATATCCCTTGAGAATGAAACGGAGCTATGGATTTTAAATTTAATTTTATAATTATAGCTAGGAATAAGCAAAATTTATATGGCATTTTAAAAAGCTAAAAATGAACAACCGGTTTCTTTCCAGCCTTATCAAGTTTATTTCTGGGATATAAAAAAATAATAAACGTGTAAATTTAATTAATATCAATTATAATGAATGGAGGGAAAAAATGAATTTCATGAAAGCTTGAATACAATAATATTCAGACCACGTAAGCATTGCCTCTGTTTACAGAGGGAATGCCCACAGGATCTGATATACAAGGACTCTAGAAACTTGAGGTGATATGAGGAGTGGGACCTAGATAAAATCGAAAAACGGTTCGCACTAAAATCAAAAACACAATATATATATATATATATATATATATATATATATATATATATATATATATATATATATATATATATACACGTGCTTATACACTTGGGAAAGGTGTGAATCATCTTCTTATCCCTCCAGCTATGGGTAAGTAGCAGTACAGACTGTGTTCTATAGCCTTGGATGGCAACTGGTCTAGGAGAAGGACAACTCTGAATTCAAAACCTGCGGAGGTTCGTTTGGGGACCCTGTGGCACGTAGTGCACAAGGTCTCTATATTCCGCCCTTCAAAAAATGTGGATGGTCCTGCACGAAACCTCCACCACTATAATTAAATCTCATGTGCTGTTGTCTGGCTGTCGGTTTCCTGATCTGCTTGACCCTCATACGTCGAATTCGACGGGAGAGAGTCGACTATATATATATATATATATATATATATATATATATAATTTGTGTGCATTTAAATATATACATACGCACACACACACATATATATATATATATATATATATATATATAGAGTCGACTATATATATATATATTTGTGTGCATTTAAATATATACACACACACACACACACACACACACACACACACATATATATATATATATATATATATATATATATATATATATATATATATATATATATATATATATATATCCGTGGTACTTATTGGAAAGCGCGCAATATCAATCGGTTTCAAGCTATTTATGATCGTCAGACAAACGGTCGCAAATAGCGTGAAACTCAGTGTTACAAACTCACATCAATCCAACTACATAAATATATATATATATATATATATATATATATATATATATATATATATATATATATATATGTACTAGTACTGAGTGTGTATCAATCAAAGTATGATCAAATAATGATTCCTTAGTAAGGAAACGCCTTTATAGATTTTCAATGATAGTACTTATTTGGTTGCTGGAGTATATATAAGAAAAAAATATTAAACTTAAATAAGAAAACCACTTAACTGATAATAATAATAATAATAATAATAATAATAATAATAATAATAATAATAACTCTTAGTCATAGAAATTCGGATACAAAGAAGACGAGAGGGTGCAGAATCTAAATCATTTCCATGTAATATACAGATGAATAAAAACTTGACCGAAATAATCGAAGCTTATGTCGGATGTACCCAACGTTTGTACGAACAGTTTATCATAAACCCACCGAGGTATTGTTGTATAAAACAGTACAGAATGAAAATGGCCAAAGCTGCCTATTTATATGTCATTTTCATTTCTTTCTTTCTTTCGTTTCTTTTATTTCTTTCAACACAGGATATATGACGTGTCTTGTTTCCGTTCCAAGGGTACTTCTTCATCCCAACCGAACCACGAACGGCATACAAACTACACGATTTTATGTCTCGAAACAGCCTCACATGACAATACAACACTGCTACAACTATATATATATATATATATATATATATATATATATCCATTGAATACAATAACATATCCCAGTTTAACAAATGAGTCAACATTGCGACAAAATAATGACCCTCGTAAAAACTAGTAGCCTAAAGCCATTACAGACTTTTCAAAGAAATACATTGTCAGTTACTTTCTCAATCCAAATAGAAACTTAGTAGTTTGTTGAATAATCGATTTTTCCAATCTTTTCTAAACTCTATTTTTAACCTAATTTTAGACACACACCTATATACAGATATGTGTGTGTGTGTTCTTTTCAGACAGAGTGTATCTGTAAAGGAACAAAATGAATAAAGAGACCCAAAGAAAAACATATTCTCTGATTTATCAAGGTAAATGAACTGATTTATTTTGTTGCATGTGTTTATATACAAGAGCAAGGATTGCATTGGTTTATCAAGGCTTTTGAATTTGTGAACGTTCGTGAATATTCATCTGGTGGCTGAAACTAACTAGCGAACTTGAGTCAATGCATGGCGGAACAGGGTTTTGGAGAGATAACAAAATAAACAATTTGTTAAGAGTTACAAAGGACAGGAAATTGTGGAGAGCCGTAATAGTGAACATCGTAATGGGAAACGGTACATAGAAGAAGAAGAAGAAGAAGAAGAAGAAGAAGAAGAAGAAGAAGATAAGTTGTTTTATGTTTGCGTTTATTTAGTATTAGTCCATGGAGTTTTCAAAAGGAAAGCCTGTTTAAGAAATAAAGAATTCATTCTCTCGAAGCTCTTTTTAATCATTCCTCTGAGAAAGAGATTGTATACAATTCAATATATAGGCATTTCTGAATCAGTTGGCCATTAGTAATGGAATCCATAGAAAACTCCATCTGAAGCTGCTAGCTTTATATTGCTACTGTCAGAAGATAGCGTAATAGGTCCAAAAACAAAGATGTGGAAACCAATTCGAAAAATTCAAGTGTGGATAAAAATCGAAATCCATGTGTTTTACATATCAAATACTTCGTAAAGATTTGATTGTTCAGAAAATACTTATTGACTTCCATACAATAAAATATGAATTATTTGAATACGAAGAATTAAAAAAAAAAAAACTCACCAACGAAACTAATGGGAGTTGGACATATCTACAATTTTTGCTGGCTGAAAAATTAAATTCAAAGACACGCCCAGATATCGTTCGGCGGTATAACGGAAGAGTAGACATCGGGGTTCGACCGCTTGACCCCGACCTGTTAATTTGAACGTAATCCAGAAATATAATTCTGGCTCGCTCTGACAAATCATGACTATCAGTCAGTTAGGCGAGATTTTGGCAACGAACAACTTCGAGCCATTAGCGCTTTCCACTGGTCGGCGGTTTACATTAAGGTAATGAGAACGTAATGAATCTTTTTAAAGGAATATTTATCGTCTTTCTGACGCAGGGGTCACGGATCGAAGATGGGCTCGGAACGGCGGGAAAAAAGCCAGACAGAAGCGAGAAAGTGACGTGACTGAAGTACGAAATGCCAATTTAAACACACGCACAAACACACACATACACACACGCACACAAACCCTAGCATGATTTGCTGTTTTCTTTATCATATAATTGAAGTCTCTGAATTAGCGGGTTCCAGGAAAGTATTGAATTTCTTTTTTCTTCATCGACAAGAAATGCCTTCATTTAAAGAGATCTGCGTTATTTCATTCTTTCTTTTCTAACGCCATTCACTCTTTCCTTCACTTCTAAGTTAATTCGCTTTGTTCACTCTTTTTAACTCGTTTATTTCGCCATGTATCTTCTTTCTTTTTCTACCCTCCAGTTCGGATGGGATATGTTGCCCCGCCGAAAATTGCTTAGATTTCAAAGTATCACAAGGACTCAGGCAGACTATCCTTGAATCAGTCATTTTATTTGGCACGCAAAATGACAGATTCAAGATGGTCGGCGCGCGCACAGTTTTCGCAGACGTCGGAGCCCGTCTGGTTTTCTGATTGATCTTCGACCGATTCTTCGTTTTTATTACGGGTTAAAAGAAAAAAAAACGACACCTTTTGAGACCTCTCAGCTTGATATATGGTTTCTGTCTAATTTGCTTTTTCGCTGACAATCCCAATGTAACTTTATCAAGTACAAGCTAATAACACAAAACCGAATATTTTATACATAACATTACGGGTTATCCAAACAGGGTCGATCAGCGGCTGTGTACTTGGGGACTTCCTCCCAATATGATCCTGTAAGAGATTCCCGTCCCTCTGGGGTGTGTGATTATATAGCTACCTATCATATGGTTTTTTGCGGCCATGCAAATCCTATGCACAGCTGGGTCGATCACGCGTTTACATGCTGCTATAACGTTTGACGCTGCTGTAATAAGAAGGCCTACAACGCAATATAATAATGCAAAGACTTTATTTGCACATTAATAAAGCGAGGTCTTTGCACGTACAAGAGTATGCCATGCCCAAACCAAAGGTGAGTTACTGTCTGGGGAGATGACACACTGACAGTTGAACTAATAACATTGACAGAAGGAAGAACTCTTGTAACGTCATGATATACTTTGCTCACATGATGATATTTATAGGCATCGTATTAGAATATAAGAGATAGAAAGACAATTTAATTGGTTATAATAACTCTACTTAATAGTAACAACTCTTGGTTACAGAAATTCTGATACAAAGAAGACGAGAGGATGCAGACTCTGAATCGTTTCCATGAAATAAACAAATAAAGAATATATTAAGATGTAGGTTTTTCAGCAGTACCGTAAAAAATACTTAACCACACTGGGTACTTACCCTTTTTCAAGACTCTTCAGGCGCCGGATACGACTCCAACACATTCTTGAAAGAGATGTTCTTCCCAAGTGGATTGAGCTAATAATATTTTCAGATGAGCGAAGCCTCTGCTGTCCAGTAAAAACTGGCCCCAGCGTTGGAGTCATTTTCCTTGAAGTAACTCTCAGGCGAATCCATTCAGCTTCCTGGGTGGGATACCCAATTTATGTTTGGTCCCCAACTGATATAAGTCGAAAGGCAGATCCAAAGCTGCTACTATGGCACCTTTTACCTCAACACGCAGTGCACATGGCTTTTTGGATGGCCGTACGTGACATTTCTATTTTGATTTCATCTGGAGTTATTCACATCTTACATAAACACACAGTACCATTTTTTTAATGAATTATTCATTCATGATTTATCAGCACCGTTCGGTAAACGTAAACGTCTAACTCTCTTCAAACATACAGAAAAAAATTTAATTTTCTAACAAAAGCTAATTTCAAGATTTCGGCCTGTATTTCGTTTCGATATCCTTCAAACATACCTTTTAGTAATAACAACGATAGATAAGGTTTGACAGAATACTACAAAATGTAATATTCAATTATTATATCTATGATTTGTAACTGTTTTGATTGTGTTTTCGAATTTACCTGGACTTTTGTCGCAAACCGCAAAAGCCTTTGACCTTTATCTGTGGTGTATCGCTGGGAGAAGATGAAAGGATGTTCTTGTTCTCATCTAATCGCACTATGAACACTGTCACTGAGTAAACGCTATGTTCAAATCCGCCCATTCGTCTATTGTTTTCCCTGTGTTATTAAGGCAAGTTTCCTTATATGACATGATGTTATTTGTTGGCTACCTCTGACTTCAATGTATATCCACACGTCACGATCCATGTTTCATTAAAAACGATAGAAAAGGTACTACGATTAAGCTTTTGATTTAATTTTTCTTGTATTCGAACAAGAGCTTTCTTTTCTGGACACAAAGTGTGTAGAAACTGTCCAAATGTTTTATAATTCCGAGAGTTTTCGGCTATAGTTTTAGCCATTATCAAGGATAATGCTATTTTTTCAGTTTAATTGAGTGTCTGTGTTATGTGTATATTTTAGTGTTATATAGATGTTTTATTTTCCGAACACGGTTAGCACATTATGGCCTTTTTGTAGTGTGTGTGTGTAATGCAAATATTACCCCAATTGACCCGAATAAAAAATCGAATTAATTATAGACTATAAAGAATTTAAAACAGCTCACCTTAGGATCAAAAATAACAACACACCAACAAAGTCGAAATTAAAACGAACGAACATTATTTTATGAGTTCAAATTCCCCTTAAAGAAACAGTTTTTTCTGATCAAATTCATATTTACATCATTCACATGACTACATGCCTATGCAGATGCCTTATGCTGCACCTATCTGACTAGAGCTCTATTAGAACCCATTTAAACACAAACACAAACTTACCAGACTCCATTTGAAAGCTACTAGTCGAAAACACAAATATAATAACCTCATCCACATGTAAAAAAGATTAAAAATAATGGAAGCCCTAATAATAAAAAAGGTAAAAAACGAACACTCAAGAATATTAACTACGAAACGTACAGCCGAAAGCGCTCGGAATTATAGAAGATTTAGACAATTTCTACATAATCTGTGTCCCAAAAAGAAAGCATTTGTTCGAACACAAGAAAAATTAAATAAAAGGCTTAATCGCAGTACCTTTTCTAAATAAAAAACTCAGTCGTAGTAATTTGTCTGTCGTTTTTAATGAAAGATGCATATATATATATATATATATATATATATATATATATATATATATATATATATAAAACAACAACTCAACTGATAATAGCAAGTAGGAACAAAAAACCGCGAGGAGGGTAACTGACAAAACCGGTGTCACACATCCAACCTTCTCACAGCCGAGGACCGACCACGATTTGCATGCGAATGACGAGACAACGAGATTTCGCGTTAACTAACCGAGACCGCCCGGCATAAAATATGGGCGCCGCTATTTTGGTTCTTTTTACCGCTAGAAAACTGGAGATTGCACATCGCACAGATTCTCAGGCGTTTCCGAGGTAGGCCATTTTCACAATTTTCCCCACAATATATAAACGAGAAATATATACAGTCAAATCATTGCTACCCTTGACAAGTGAACAAGAAGTTCGGTTGACAAAAATCTGGAGATGGCATGCTGAAATTGGCACCAATCAGCGTGACTATAATTTCATATTAAGATATTGAGTCACCCTCCAACGAAGGTGTAAATTGGCACAAGGCCTTTTTAACGTGGGCATTCCGAGGCCCATTGAACCCGTATAAACAGGTCCAGGGCCGGTTTACCTCCCCGAAGGAGACTCCGCCCTTCGGCGGAGCCTCCTTTGGGTTCCTCGCGTCCGTATGAAGAGAGTTCAACCGAACAGTCGGTTCAAAAGTGAACGACTGACTCACGATAGTGACGATAATTTCATATTACACACACACACACACACACACACGCGCGCGCTTATATATATATATATATATATATATATATATATATGTGTGTGTGTGTGTGTGTGTGTGTGTGTGTGTGTGTGTGTGTGGTCATCCACAGACTCTTTCGCTGTATCAGAGCTCTTCAGTCTGGCTAGACGTCCGATTGCTTCAAGCAAGGATCTTACCACTAAGCTGTCGACGCACGGCAGAGAGAAAGGGAAATTTTAACGTTTTCGTTAGAAATACGCCAGCAGCTAGGAGGGCTCAATTCGTAGTTGAATAGCCATGCATTAATAGCAGCAGCAGCCACTGTTTTTAAAATTACCCTTTCATCCAGAGAGTTCTATCATATATATATATATATATATATATATATATATATATATATATATATTAGTAACTATAAATAATCAATTTTCAATTACTATGGTTAGACTGAAGTATGCTTTAATGCACTAAACGAATATTATGTATGCCCTAATCGAGTTTTGCTTTATAAATTTTTAGCGCACAAATCGAAAACACATTAATCGAATGCGCATTAATCGAGATGCCTGTATATCTTTGCCGTAGCGTTTGCCAGATGTTCTAACTCAGACCAAGAATTTTCTTCCAGATGTTCAATACACAATAGAAATAATGAGTGTCGAAATACGCTCGGTCTATTTTTAGGTATCGAATTCAAAATATCGATCTTAACAATCCATTTTTAAACGTTAATATTACTACGCTGATTTCCTTTCAATCACGGCCGAGGGTAGTGAGATAAGATCTGATCTTAATAGGATATATTTGGAAGGGATTTTTGATTGAAGACGAACAAGTCTACTGTCTCTGATTGCTTATTTAGTAGAAGCTATATTAATCGGGGCTGTGATGAAAGTGAACAGGTAACAAAAATAATAAAATAAAGGTAAGCAAAAACGATTTATTTGATGAATGTGAAAAGTTCTGCATTATTCCAGGATGCTCTTCCGTGTTATTGTTGATTTTCTCATAATATATCTCTATCTATAAAAGGCAGGATGTGTGTGTGTGTGTGTGTGTGTGTGTGTGTGTGTGTGTGTGTTTGTTTGTGTGTGTGTGTGTGTGTGTGTGTGTAACGAATGCACGGCCGCAATTTTCGATTTTGCACGAAAATTTACATGCACATGCTCCAAGTTAGCGGAAAGGCCAAGACCGACTTTGCATTTCCCAACTCCCATCGATAGT